AAAAAAAAAAAAAAAAAAAAAAAAAAAAAAAAAAAAAAAAAAAAAAAAAAAAAAAAAAAAAAAAAAATAAAAAAAAATAAAAAAAATAAAAAAAATAAAAAAAATAAAAAAATAAAAAAAAAAATAAAAAAATAAAAAAAATAAAAAATAAAAATATATATATATTATTATTTTAATAGTAATTTATATTTGGTGCAGGGTGCACCATGTATATCTCTATGAAAAATTTGAATTTAGTAATAGTTAGGGTTAGAGTTATGTTAGATTAGATTAGGTTAAGTTAGTGTTAGAATTATGGTTAGTGTTGGGCTTAGAGTAAAATTACAAAAGGATTATTTTTTATTAGTTACACAACAGGGTTACCTAGTAAAATTCTTAGATATTGCAAAAGGATGCACATAGTGCAGAGTGTACCAAAAATCAATGTCTTATTTTAATAATATTAATAAGATCAAAAAATTTATTTAAAGATAAAAAAATTCTTAATTTTGACATTAAATTGTTTTACAAAAAATAATAAAAAATAAAAAACAGTACTTATAAATATAAAATTAACCAAAACTTATCTAAAAAAACAAATAAAAAAAAATATCATCAATTTTTTGTATAATTTTTTTTTATTATTGGCTTTGATAAATTATATAACAGAAGTGCTGTATATAGAACTGAAAATGATAAATTTATTGAATACAAATTCAAAGCTTTCAGATTTAATAAAATAACATTAGTAGAAAAATAGAAAAAGGAAGTTTTTTAATAATTATAGGCTGATTTGTTTACATTTCTGCTGAAAAAGAGCTAAATGTAATAAAAAAAATAAAATAAATAAAATAAAATAGATGAGAAAAATAATTAATAAACTAATTTTCTTACTTGATTATTCTTCAAGTTTATAATTAAGCAACTTACTTTACTACATATTTAAACAATAGATGAATTTCTAACTATATATGTTTTTTCAGTATTGCTAGCATTTGAAATTTTACTGACCAGGTTCAAGAGCCTAGCACACAAGATGGCAAAGATGTATATTTTTGGTTTAAATATGAAGTCTATAATAATGTAATATTATCTTAGATAACAATGCACATTATATATAAGTATAATTCTAATTCTAAAGATAGACATACTAATATCACAGAAGCTATTGAAAAACTTTTTATATTTTCAGTTGTGAACTAGTAATTTTGAAAAAAATACATATATCTTATGCAAAGTCATAGAGTAGATTTACCCAACCAAGACTGTCAAAAAATAGTTGTAAAAAATTTATAACTAAGACTAGGAATCTTAAAAAGAAGGTTTAAAAAAATTTGTAAAAAGATTTGAAGTATTAACAAACAAAAAACAATCCCAATAAAACTATTACAGATCCTTAAGAAGAGAGTTATTCAAGAGTAGATAGGTTAAGATCCACTATAAATAAAATTAAAAGTATATAGAAATAAGTTATAAATTTTTTTTTTATTAATCTTTTGTAACAATTAATTCATTCATTAATTAAAATTTTTAAATCTAGAAAACAAAGTGCTACAGTCAAAACACAAAATGAAACACAAAATAAAGCTCATAATAAAGTACAAAAGAAAAGTGCTATTGACAAACCACAATTGGACAAAAATCCTGCAAAGCACATGCATACTCGAGTCAAAGATTATTCAGATGATTAATACTCAAATGAAAAAAATTAGAAAATTCTAAGAGAGAAGTACAAGAAATTGAAAAGCCATATATAGCTTCTAAACAATTTAAAAAAAAAGAAAAAATTTTTTAATAATAATAATATATGTATAAAAAAATTTTTTTTAATTAGTTTTTATTAATAATAAATTAAAATTTCTAAGTTTAAAATATAAATATATTGTTATATTAGCATATTTTCTACTTTATTTTATTTTATTTTATTTTATTTGATATTAGGTTTATTAGTATTGTTATAGAATATGTTGGTATTATAAAATATGCTAAGGATTTTACCTCTAGCAGATCCAGAAGACTCTGACAATCAAAATGAGCTACAGTATATTATGATCAGACAGATAGATAGCCAGATAATTGATAAACAAAGTACTAGAAGATTTAATACTATTTTCATTTTGTCATACAGTTTTTATTTTGTTGTCTGTTATTTTGTCATACAGTTTTTATTTTGTTATTATTTTTGTACTTTATTTGTTATACTGGAAGTTCTGATTAACAAGATAGCCAAACAATCTAATACTATTTTCATTTTGTTATACAGTTTTTATTTTGTTATTATTTTTGTACTTTATTTTGTCATACAGTTTTTATTCTGTTATTATTTTTGTCTGTTATTTTGTTATACAGTTTTCATTCTGTTATTATTTTTGTTTCTTTTCTGTTATACAATTTTCATTCACTTGTACTATTTTTTACTTTGCACTACTTTGTACTATTTTTACTTGTACTATTTTTACTCTGTTGTATAGGAGTTTAAAAGATATATAAACCCTGCTTTTTCTTCTTAGACAAGATAGGTTTTTTTTGACTTCACTTTAAGGTTCTAGAGATATAAAAATATTGCTCTTAGATTCTTCTATATTGATAAAAATATTATACTCTTGCTCTGGATTATACTCATTGTATTAAGTAATTTTATTTTTTTTTATTTTTGTTTTTAGTTTTTTTGTTTTGTTCTTTTGTTTTCTTTCTCTGTTTATTTACATTTCTTACTCTTGGCACGTTATCAAGTAATATAGTTACTGCCACCAAAGTGACTATATTACAATATAATAAAAAAAAAAAAATTAAAAAAAATAATTTAAAAAAAAGGATGTTTTATAGAATAGGTGGGCAGACTTTGCAAACTTAGCAACTACATTAAATATTTATTAATGATTACTAATTAGTAGCAGAGTTTATTTTTTATGTTGTCTATCTATACTATAGAACATCCAAAAAAAAATTATAATATAATAAAAATCAGATACTTAACTACACATGCCTATTATTAAATAGTTAATTAAATTTATATACATATGAAAAAAAATATTTTTAAATATTTAAATAAGTGTAATTATTAACTGGAACTGGTAGAATATATAAAAAGTTGCTTTGTCTAAAAAAAATCTTTACAAGAGATATTAACATTAAAAATATAAATAAACATTATACTTCTCTAGAATTTTTCTTATTTAAAAAAAAAAAAAATGAAAAGAAATTTCTACTACTCAATTTATGAATATAAGAGTACTAATTTATTAAACTTAGCAGAAAAAAATTTAAATGTAGAAAGAATTAATACTTTTCTACCCTATACTTACACAGGTAAAAAAAAAATGAATCAGTATAATTACTTTTTTTATGTTTAAGCGATCCTGCCTTTATTTATGTGAGCTGTTATATAATTCATATACACAAATACACTAAACTATTACAACTTGTAGCTCTAACTCAATAAAAACTTACGACCTGCGGGTCGATAGCATAGCGGTTATGCTTCCAGGTTGCAAATTTAACGGTTGCCGGTTCAATTCCTCCCAGCAGCAAAATAATGAAAACCCAAATATGGAAGTGAAACACCGCGGAGTACAGGGAACTCGGGATATCTACGGATGGATGTATTCGGGGAATAGTTATTCTGAGAAGTTGTAGCTGTGAAGCGAGGCGTGTTAGAACCCCGATTTGGAATAACCAAAGTCATGAGATGTACTGTGAGACCAAAGTCTGAGAAGATACACAAGAACTCGTGGTGGCACCAGATTGGCTAGTGAAATCCCAGTTTAATATTAAGGTGTTTCGACCTCTCCAGAGTGTCGTGTAGACAGTCAGATCTAGGCCCCAATGAGGGAACCGGGAAAATGGCGGGCAATGGATCCCAGGTGGATACACATGATTTCCGTATAGGAATTATAGAGGTCCTGTGATACTAGTAGCATAGGGTCAACTATAAAGATAGCTGGACCAAGTCATGTCTAGACTTGCCAAAGTAATAAAAAAAAAAAAAAATAAAAAATAAAAAATAAAAACTCACCAGATATACCTAAGTACTATGCAATGCAACCTGCTATAACAACTAATAGTTTCACTTGGAATTCAAAACTTACTTTGAATTTTGATCGTCGAAACGATGCTCCTCTTAATTATTGACAGGCTGTTATATACCGCGGCAGGATCTTTTTTTTCTCTTTTAATTCTTTCTTTTTCTTAAGGGGCACAAGACAAAAGAGAAAATTTTTTAAAAGAAAAATATGAAAATAACCAGAAAAAGAGAAAAAAGAAACACTGATTGTGAAAAAGAAAAAACATGAAAAGAAATCTAAAACTCTAAAGGCACTATTATAACCCATGCATGGCTGGTAAAAATTATATAACAAATGCAACATTTGTATATCTCTACTGTAAAGCTTTGCCTTAACGTTAAATTTACTTTTCAACCTTCCTAACAACTCCAGATAGCTCCGTTGCCCAAGGGTTCCCAGACCAAGTCCCTTGAAGTAGCGCCATATTCGTCCATAAACAAACACGTGGTTGCATTTTGCTAATCTGTCTAGATTTGAAAAGTAAACAATGCCGATCTTTTAGAGGGGGTAAGCCAAATCCCCCACTTTTTGTAAAAAATTTTGGAAGGCCAGCAGGAAAGCAAAAATAAGTAAGAGAGGAGTCACTTGGCCAAGTAAAAGAGTGTGGCTTGAGAATAGCAAGTTCTTCACTGTTCTCCGGTTAATTCGCAACAGATTGCTTCGTTGACAGAGAAAAACCATAATCCCCACCAAAATTTCGTATACAAGGTCACACTTTCCCAGCCAGTTATCTTGTTTCAACTTGCATGTCGAATATATAAAGGAGTCTCCACAAGAGCACAAAGAGTTGACCTTTATAAAAACCACACTGTTGTCTACCCACTACAGGTATTATTTTACACTCCAGTATCCAAACTTGACTTTTTTTTTGTGGGAAATTTTGGTTCAAGTGATCGTCAGAAAAAGTTGATGAATCAGTATAATTACTGATTGTAAAAAATTATTTAATTTGATACAAATAGGCATACTGATTGCAATCCAATTATATACTAGTTAGATACTATTTGTTAATTTGTTTATTTGCTGATTTTAGACAGATTTTGGTGGAAATCAGTATAAAATTAGTATAAATTGGTATAAAATAGTATACTATGATTGTTTCAATTTGACAATTAAAATACTATTAATTCCGATTTGACAATCCTAATATTTACTTATTAAATTAGCTAAAATAGTACTGTAATAGTATTTTATTAATGAAAATAAAAGAAAAATAAAAAAATATATACTAGCCTAATGTAGATTTTGGTGCCGAACAAGTTTACTTAAAGCTCAAAGGCACAATTCATTAATAAAAGTTTGAGAGATGCAGAAGAAAACCCTAACATTTCTGATATAGATCATCTTTTTTTTTAGCAAATTGCAGAAAATTTGGGTAGAGGTCCAAATTTGAGTTTTAGCAAATTGATATCAATTTTAAAAT